GTTATAGATGTGTAGGTATGCTGATTTAACACATTGGCTGTTTAAATTACTATTATTATATCCTATTATTATTTTTAAGCATACAGGAATGGGAAGGGGGGGGAAGGGGTTTGATTTCCCTCTGAGGTTTCTACTGATAAAAAATTATCAAGAGAAGAAACTTGGTAAACACGTCTCACTGCCTTGAGAATAGATCTTGAAAAAATTGCTGTATTTTTCCAATTGTCACAGAAATAAAAGCTGTTTCAATTAGGGTGAGAGCAGCTTAAATAGTAGAGCTGTGAAGTTGTCATGAAGATATGGAAGAGACTGTTTCTAGCAGATCTTTCCAGCGTTGTGAAAATTGGTTTAATATGGGAGAGAGAGTTGAGCTTCACAGAGTGACTTTGGGAAATGATGTAGCATTTGAAACTCTTTTAAGTCAGCCTGACAGGACATAACCCAATTCTGTTTGTCTCTCACTTTTTTAAGGTGGAATATTCCTGCGTTTACAATTGTTAAACATTGTGGTGAAGTACAGCAGGTTGAGATGACTTTGTTTCTCTTAGGTTTTGGCAAAACTTGCCCCCATGAGGAGCTGTGTAAACCAAAAGCATGGAAGTGTGTGATGCTGATGGCTGGCTCTTTAGTTCCCACATTAATCTAAGTGTTTGGTGATCAGCAGTTTTGGATTTAGATGTATGTGTGTAGTTAATAGAGTCAATACTATTAATGAGAAAAGTCTATACTGAAAGCTCTGCTTTTGTAACAGTATCAGGCAAATTGCCAGCACCCCTGACCCCTGCCTTTTCTGGCTGACAGATTCCTCCAGTGTTTGTTGTTTGCTCAATTGCAGTTTTGTGAGAGAACATTATTTCTCATCTCTGAGTGATGTGTTACGTTTTGAGCTCTGGGATCATCTGATTCTGAGAAATCTAAAATAACTCCTTGCCACAACATCACATTTTGAGAATTCACGGAGATGGTCATAGTCATCTTGGTTTGTGTTTTCTGAAACCATTTCCTCTTATGTGTACATTTTTTTTCTATCTGAAGATTTGCAGAATACATCTACTGTATTGTATGATACTACCAACCTGTCAATATATTAGATTTGTTACAGCCTTATCAGAAAACAGTCAGCATCACATGTATGAGTCAGTGCATTTATAGCAAAATTCTCACACTAAGTTAGTACTATACTTTCACTGCTTAAATGCTGTAACTTTGAAATACTGAAGTAATATGAAAGTTTATAGCCATGACATTTCTAGTTAGTGATATCTTTTTATCTTTGTTCAATGACTATGATAATTATTTGCTTCCTTGAGTTGTCATTCAGATTATGCATTAAACACTCATTATTTGAACTCTTTGAGTGTCACCTCAGTTAGTAGTGAAATGGTTTTGATCTTCAGAGTGGGGTGCTGTGAACAGAGTACTGCTTTGGAAGCTCTTCATTTTACCACCCTGTTCTCAGTCTGTTGAATAATATATTCTGAACTGCTCATGTTCCTTAGAGTAGCAACTGTTTCTTCTGGCATTTCAAATACTCTTCACGTTGACCTTCAGATTTGTATGGAATCGGTGTGTTATTCATGCAGTGTTAACAACATTAATTTTCAGTCTCTAATGCTTTATTGTATTTTTGTGATTGTATGATCCTGTAATATCTGTCTAATTCGAGTATTAAAACAAAAGCCAACAAAAATGGTGCATTGTTTTACTTGACAGATGGACAGATCACATGTGCTGCACTAACAAGCCTGTAGCTGAAGACAGGAGGGCAGTGGAGAGGGAAGGAATTAATGTAATTTAAGTATGTACAACTGCTGACACCATTCAAAAAATACATGGTTTTCTGTCTACTTAAAACTGAGATGCCAGCTAAGTATTTGCCTGTTTTTACATGCTTGCCACTAAACAGCTGAAATTACATTATGTAGCTAGCAAGATACAGGGGTGACCAGTAATTTGTGCTCAGGTAGTGCAACCATAGCAAGAATTAGAGTTCTGTTGTAGGTGCTTTTATGTGTAATAGCTGAAATCTGGTGTCTGTACTATTTCAAGAAAAGTGGCAAATGTTTTGGTATTAAATTCATGCTGTACCTCTACTGCTGTTTGGTAGGTAGTTCTTACTTGCTCTGGCTTGTAACTTAGCAACTCTTATTTTGTATTTTTGTAGTAGAGTTCCATGGTCTGCGTGGCAGCTGCTTGGGAGTTGAGCAAGGCGCTCTGTGGCTTCCCAAATGGGGTCTTGCAGCTTGAAAGCATGATTTTTTCCCCCATATTAGTATTTCATAACTCTTTCTCAGCTAAGTAAAATTCAATTTATAACTCGACTCCTTTAAGCATTTAACACAAAGAAGTGTGTACTACTAGCTTTTTGTGGTGATGAACGCATATTACTCCTTTCCCTCCTTGTCTCCAAGGCAGCTGTGCCCAGTTAGGCTGTGGTGAGGTAAGAACACTCAAGTAAGGTAGTAAGCCTTGCAGAAGTCAGAAGTTAATGGAAAACCTGGGAACTGGTCATAGTCTGGACTCTGCTCTCCTTGCATGGGTGGGGGCATTTTATCTTTCAGTACTGAGAAGATATTTTTTCATCATTGCCTCTGATTGTCTTTATTTGTGGCAAAACTTGAGTTGCAGAAGCTCTTGAATAAGCAGAAAGATCTTTGTGTGATGTTTGAAGATAAAAACATTTCAGAAACCAGGACAATCCTTATGCAGACTTTACGGAAGTGATAATACACCACTGAAAATACTTTACAAAAGAAAGATGAAAACTCATGTTCTGCACTGGGAGGTGTTAGTGCGTGTCTTTGGAGGAGTGTATTTAACAGTGACAGCCAAAATGCATAGGTTTTGGGTTATATTCTGACAGAACAATGAAGCAGAAGAATTTGTGGTACAGAATTCTTTTACAACCCCAGTCTGCATTGGCCTTCTTCATCTAAGTATTCTGATAATGTCTTCAGGTTTCATTGTAAGATAATGAACGAAGCCCTGTTTGTATATGTAATTTCTAAAGCCTTGTCTGTCCTCTGTAGAGTTGTCTCAACCTGCATCTCAAATCTTTCCTTGTTTTTTACCATCTAGCTTTTGGAGCCTGACCATTTGTGCACTGCTTCTCAGAGGTTTGTGAAATATATTTCAGATAAGTGACTGTACTGGTGGGTTTAAGTGAACTATAGAGGAGTCCATGGGGAAAAAATCAGGGGTCAAAGTTCAAAAACACATTCTTACTCCATTTTGGTTTTTAAAATTTGAATGCATGAGTGGGTGATTGTGAGAATTTGCAGTACAGCTGAGCTGCTGCTGTAGAGACTGAGTTGGATTCCTGTCTGATGGAAGAGGAGTTAGCTTTGGTTTTCTGACAGTGAGGGACAGCAAAGGCAAATGCTCATTTATGCTGTTATGGATGGGAATGGTATTCGTGTTTGAGGAAAAACAGCCATCCTGCTTACATAAGAGATCATCGTGACATGGAATGAGTGTTGTCTGTGAACAGTGTGACTTGGCCTCATCTGTTTCCCCTAGAAATGTAGCTTTAGTTTCAAGGTTTCTCCCCTACCTCCATCTATATTGTTCAGTGGATTTTGTATTTCTGTTTATGCTGCAATTTTTGTAATACCCAGATCTATTCACATATAACAGTTTGATCTAACACAACTAGAAAATAACGTCATACAAATCTCATGTTCCAGAAATAAAGAAGTGGGCTAAATGGAGACCTGAGGGTAGCAAGTCTGGGCATCCCTGAATGAAGCAGTGGTGGGGTGCCAGTCAGGAGCTCTGCTCAGTTGCCTGCTTTTCTTGTTTGGGCTCTGCTTTTTTTTTTGCTCCATTTTAAACTTGGAATAGGACTAGTTAAACCCAACTTTTGTATAACCCAAAACTTAAGGTCTGAGCTTCTATGGGAAGCAGTTTGTGAAGCAGTTATCACTTTTTGCATAACAAATGTACATAATCGGTCAGAATCCTGCTAGTACTCCTCAATTCACCTTTGGCTGGAGGGATTTAATTGATGACACAATGTGTATTTGTTGTCAGATAAGGTCACTATGGTGCACAGGTCACAAAGATACATTTATTCCCCTATATCTGAGGAAAGTAACATTAACTTTTCTAAGGCATTTACTGTTGCTCATAGCCATTCACACAGTTTCCAGCAACAATTTTTTTCTGAAGTCTTTGGTTTCCACCTAGACCAATTTTTTTCTTAACTCTTTCTCTTTTTTCTGGCACTGATTTTTACCAGGTCTGCAGTTTGCATAGTATTTTTGAAATCTCTAGAATGAAATGCCTGATTGAGCTGGCAAAAGAACACCAGTCATGGTATAAGAAATTGGATTTAGGCCATTGCTATATCCTGACATGGAGGTGCTTCCCTGCCCTGGGCAGTGTTGCCTTCATGGCGTGTTTTTTTACATTTGAGAAGTGTGAGTAGTGGGCCACAAGGAAATTTTCAGCATTGCAAAACCGTAGGTCCAAAAGACTTGGTTTTGGGTAATTTGCATGTGGCTTCTGTAAAGATTTTTCTTCCCTCTTTTCATTTAGTACTCACAAAAATGACAATCAGGAGTTACTTATGTTCCCTCATTGCCTGAAGAAGAGATGGCTTTGGGGAGACCTAATTGTGGCCTTCCAGTACCTGAAGGGAGCCTACAAGAAAGATGGAGAGAGACTATTTACAAGGGCCTGGAGTGACAGGACAAGGGGAAATGGCTTCAAACTGAAAGAGAGTGGGGTTAGATCAGATATTAGGAAAAAATTCTTCCCTGTGAGGGTGGTGAGGCACTGGAACAGGTTGCCCAGAGAAGTTGTGGGTACCCTGTTCATAGCAGTATTCAAGGCCAGGTTGAATGGAGCTCTGAGCAACCTGGTCTAGTGGAAGGTGTCCCTGCCCATGGCACGGGGGGTAGGACTAGATGATCTTTAAGATCCCTTCCAACCGAAACCATTCTGTGGTCCTCTGATTCTATGAGTATTTGAGATGAGACCTTTTCAAATTGGTCCAAATGCCAGTTAGTGGAGAGCAGCAGAAATCCTTTTTATTCTGTCTTTGGTAACGAAAGCCACGCCTTGGAGGTGGCAAACGCACAGCATGTTACTGATTTTTCTTTACAGTAAATACTTGACATTCATCAAGTCTTTTTCTGCTCTGATTGAACTGCCAATTTACAAAGTACCGGAGTAAAGTATCCAAGCTGTAGTACATTTGGTAGTCTAGCAGATTGGGTTTGTCTGTCTAAAAAGAAATTTGACATGTAAATTCAAAGGTAACTGTGTTAGAGAATAAACTTTTCTAGATTGCCTATGCAACAAACTGAAAATCCAGGGTTTAACTGAATGTCACGGCAGTCTAGATTTTGTTTTATTTAATTGTGTGATTAGATTAGTGGATCAAAAGCTATGGACAGCCCAAAGCACAGCAAATAACCATCTCTTTGAAACAGACAAAGCCCCTATGGCTTAAATGTCCCTGTCCTTTGAACAGTCAGCAAGAAGCTGGTGCAATAATGTTGCTGCAGTGGTTGGTCTGTACTTAGAATGACTTCTTCACCAGAGAGCACCGGCTCGGGCAGGTTTTCATTGCTTTGACAGTGCTGTGTTCATGCACAGCCACAGCAAGGCAACGCCAAACACAAAGCAGCCAATCACTGCACCACAACTACTCCATCTTCATGTGATTTCCTGTTCCTCCCTCTCTCAATCTCAAGGAGACTGATCTTGGGCTCACATAATTCTTGTTGGCATCCCAAAGATTCTTGGAGGCCACCATAATATCATCACTTTTTTCCCATAGGACACACATAGGAAATGGTGATGAGGAGGTGTTAATAGCAAAAGGTCATGGGCCTGATTTGATTAATTCTCAGGATTTTAGGAGTCAATGCAGCATCAGTAGAAGCAGGTTAGCATATTATCACTGCAAGGAGGACAAGAGAGAACACTTGATAGCCCACGGGAGTTTGGATTATTTGCCTTCACACAGTAAACTTAATAAAAAGTGGCTACAACAAAAAAAATACAGGTAAACTTACCTGAAGTACTGTTAAGTTGCCTCTAAAGCTATGTGTAATTTGGACATTCCAGGGAGATGCCTAATAGCAGAAGGAATTAAGAAAATGTTATTTATTGTTTCTGTACAGGAAGCAATAAATAACAGGAAAATATTTTGAATGTAGAAGGGGCCCAAGAAATTTAAAGCATTTTTTAAGTGCTTATGTCTTTGCTCTTCACAGATTATTGAATATGCAAAAAAAAAAATTAAATTATTAACTTCTCAATGTATACAGCTTAAGAGGAAGAGACTTTGCAGAGCTTTGCGAGAATGTTTTCTTACTGAGACTTTTCTTGAAGTTAATTGCAATTAATGGTAAAAATACAATTAATTTTTAAATTAAAATTAAAAAGTAATTAATTTTTTAATTTTAATGGAGTTTGTAAAAAAAAAATTTAGTATAATCGGAGGAACCATAGTGTTTGAATCTCAGTAGGCCTGCTCTAGTTCTAGATGATACTAGAAATAAATCAGTCGTTATTATTGGTGCATGATTTTTATTAGAAGCGGAAGTTTAGGAAAGATAGAAACTGGAGGTAAAGGTTTGCACATTTACATGATAGGTGCTCAGTGCATTACTTGCAGTTGAAAACAGGGATTACTTTGAAACACATTCAGAGTGCTCTACAGAATGCTTAATTACTGAGTCATGTAAAGATTTTGACATGACATCAAACAGCATCTGAAAGCAGATTGCACTGCTACATGTATATTAAAAAAAACAAATCCAAACCCAAGAAATCGAACAATGTTCCTTACCCAAATGAAAATGGCTTTCACCTGAAGGTAGAACTTTGTTGCGTGTACACTTTTAAAAGAGAGATTGGCATGAACAGCCTCTTGATCAGGCAGTCACAGTTAATAATCAAAGTGCTCTAAAAATGGAGCTTGCGTGTTTGTGAGAGGTAGCATTGCAAATAGTCCTGTGCTATGATCTGAGAGATAACTGTGTTTTCCTGTTTCTAGAACAGAGTGGGATCGATGGCTGCTGATGGGGCTAATTGGAACAGCAGTGGGGGTGCCGGGGTTTTTGATTCATCAGGTAATTGACTTACTCATCAAATCGAAATGGAACCTGGTGGAAAATTACCTGCAGGTGAGCAAGAAAAAGTCAGAGAGATGTTTTCTGTGTTTGTTTATTAGAAAATCAACAGTGTAAAGTTGTAACTACACAAAGGTGCTGCCAATCTAGGTGACTGCGGAGATCAGATACCCTGCAGTCCTTTGTGTACACACACGTTGGTGTCCTTTGCTACAACTTGGCCTCCAGTACAGTGTAATGTCTGATGGTGTTCCTGTTATGAGATTGATAAAAGTAGACTTTAAAATACTGTGGCCTTCCTCTTTCTGCTTGTACGCAAGAGGCACATGCTGCTTTAGGTATGGTTGATATCCAAGGGAATGGATTAAGATTCATAAAGGTACTTAGTGACTGTGGACCTGGTATCAGATATGTTATTTCTTTCTATGTCTGGGGAAGCTGTATTTTCAGTAATAGAATATTGTGGAATTAATAATTTGTCCTTGATGGATACCATTGTCTCTGTGATAATTATAATGGTGATAGTAAAAATCACTGAATGGGTAAACCAGATGTACATGTTAAGGCATCATTGACTCTGACTGCTTGCTTTTCTCACCTGTAGAGAGAAGCAGGTGGTAAAATTTTCACTTAGCTTGTGATATCTATGGTAGATGGTATAAATACCAAAATGCTTCTTATGAGAAAGGGGCTTTGAGCTTTTGTTCCAGCTGAATCCTAACCAGGGAGGGTCAGGAATCCCATCAGTGGGTGCTGGGGGAACCCTGTATAACCATCAAGCACAGAATGCAGCCAGCAATTTGTGCAGAAGGAGGCCAGAGTCTGGGCTGACAGTGCTTTTCTGCACATCAGCAGTGGCAGGGAGCTGCTGGGGGTCCCCAGCAGCCAGCAGAGAAATTGCCCCTGACTCAGCAAAGGCTACAGCCCAGAGCAAGCTGCTGAGGGAGAGTGTAGGTCTGCAGATTTGTGGCTCTGGGCAGTGCTTGGGGTCTCTCACTGAGTCTGGAGCATGGCAGATGAGCTCCTTGTCTGCCCAGATGTGGTGGGATAGCTGACACTTCTGTAGCACTGCAGTAGCTGGATAGAGGGTCTTTAGGGAGAACATACCATAGTTAGGAGCGGGAGTTGTATGAAGGACAAGAAGTAGTCAGCATGGATTTACAGTGGATAGCAACCTTCTACGTGATGACTGGAACAGTGGATGTTTTCATTTCAGCTTTAGCAGGGCTTTCATCCGTGTCTCCCATAATACTGTCATAGACAAACTAATGGTGTAAGGGTTAGATAAGTGGACAGTGAGATGGATTTAGCTGGCAGAACTCCTAGGCTCAAAGCATTATGATCAGTGGCACAAAGTCCATCTGGAGGCTGGTCATCATGGGTGTGCCCCAGAGGTCAGTACTGGGGCCAAATACTGTTGGATATTTTCACTAATGACCTGGATGATGGGACAATGTTGTGGTGCACCCTCAGCAAACTTGTGGGCAAAAGCAAAACTGGAAGGAAGCAGTGCTTGATAGACCACAAGGCTGTGGTACCAACAGCATCCTGGGCTGCATTAGGAGTGTTGCCAGCAGGTTGAGGGAAGTGATTCTTCCCCTCTCTTCAGCACCAGTGAGGCCACATCTGAAGTACTGGGTCCGGTTTTGGGCTCTCCAGTGCAGTGGATATGTGGATGTGTCCTCCAGTATTCTGTGGAATCAAGAAAATGGAATACTGCTGCCAACTGCTGAAGGACAGATCTCAATCGCTTCACAGAAATGCAAGGGAAGGGTTATTCTGTGCAGCAGATGGAAGCTGAATATATCAGCAGGAATATTCAAGAAATGAACAAGTTTAGGTTTTACATGGGGAAAGCATATATAATGCTTTTGGAATATTATTTCCCTGATTTTTTTTCTATACAAACTATGTGTATGTTTATAAAATATATAAACAGTGGAATAAATACACATGCAGATGTGTATATACACGTATGTATGTATATATACACACCAAAGTATAAATAAAGAATATATAGAAAGAAACCACAGTTTGACTCCAGGGCATCAGAACCACTGTTACACACACACTGTTGGTCCTATTGTATTATAAAATTTGTCCTATTGTATTATGCTAATACAGAGGGACAGGAGCTGAGCTCTGACGTAACTACAAAATGTAATTCCTGCTCTGGAACATATTCCCATCTAAATACTGCCTTCAGCTGCGGATGAGTAAACCTCTTTTTTCTGCACTTTACTTTGCTGTTTGGCTGTGCTGCACAATGCATTTACAAAACACTTGATGGCAGATGCTACTGGGAAGGCTGCGGTGTCTGGGTATGACACGGTGACCTCAGAAATGCAAGGGATGCGCTTGAACTGCACCCGCAATGTATCACAGTGAAGTACGTGGGAGCTGAGGAGTTCTGGAGACAGCACTGCTGCGGCCAGCCCAAACACAAACAAACAAACCAACCGAAAACCCAGGATGACCAGGACATGTTTTTTGAGTGTTGGAATGCCCAGTATGAGAGATATCCTTTTGGCTAAAATAAAGCAGGAAAGAGCTTGCTCATGTATATTCTGTCTACAGAATATAGCTGCAAATTCATGAAGATTATTACTGATGTAAGACTTTGAAGCCTCCATTCAGGCAAAATTCGTTCTGTTTTCTTGTGTGTGTTCTTAAAGTCCTTGAACTCTGCTTTTGACCTGAAAAAGGTCTTGATGAGTAACAACGTATCCTTTATAATGTTTTTAGAGATGGGCAAGAAATCCTGGGAAAAAAAAATTACTTGACTCTGAAAGTCATCATTCACCTCACCCTTACTCACTCCCATCCTTCTAAAGAGCCTGTGCTGCTTGTTTTGATTTTTTCCCTATCATACACCTTCTTCCTGCAGAAATTTGTGGAACAAAAGATGGTTGAAAAGCAGGACCTGGTCTGTGAGTGCTGAGGTAGCAATCTGTTTGTCCACCCACATGACCTGGCTGTGTGTGCTTTGGTCAGGGCTGGCCCTGGCGGTTCTCTCTTCAGGCTCAGTGCTGATGAGCGTTAGATCTCCTATGCAACAAATCAATAACACGGTGATAAACTGAATCTTTTGCTCTTCCATATACTGGTTGATTCAGTATTTTATTTAACACACCCCTCCATTCCCTCCCCTGTCAGTTATACAACCCCATTGGAAAAGTCTTTCTTGGACTTCAGCCTAAAGCTGGATTCCACCACCCGTAACTTGTATAAAGGTGTCTGGGGTGAAATCAGCGGTGGTGGCGATGCAATTTACACTTAGCATGTGGTGTTTATAAAATAAATATAAGTGGCAGCTGGTGTAAGTCATGAAAACTCAAGTGTTTGGAAGGGGCCTAAGCCAAAGACCATCAGTCCATATAAAAGTTCCTGTTGGTTTTAGATTGTTCATTTAGCTGTACTATGTGGATATTGCATGTAGCTCAGTTTAGTACTTTTATGAGGCAGCAAGGCTAAAACACTGAGCTGTTCTGTCATTTACTATCCTACTGTGTTCAATTTAATTATAGACAGGCAATTAACAGCATAGGTGAGAGAAAAAGTGAATGTTTTACTGGACTTACCCTGAAATTCAGCAACAGGAAAACAGAGTTTGCTGTTATACATACAATAACTAACCAGGTTTAAGCTTTCCAAAGTCTGAACTGACTGAACAGATCACACAAGTTCACATGTACACCCTGCCTCTTAGTTTGTGCCAAGATAAGAGTCTAGTTGGCTTCAGGCATCATGGAGGGCTGGCAGGGTTCTGGATCTGGGAGAGAGGCCCTTGTAAGTTGTTTTCCTCTCTCATTACCTTCAATATGTGTGTAGCAACACTGTGGGTAGCTTGAATTTTTGTGCATAGCCAGAAGTTATATATGTACCTATGTTTTCTGTTAATTCTGGGAAGTTTTTTTGTGAACAGAGCAAGGTGAGGGCCAGACTGCAAAACTGTCCATAGATGCATCTAACACATCAACATCTAATAATTGTTGATTCTATTTCTGTCTTCTTTATTTTTTTTTTTTCCTTTGCAGTCCTTTTACTCAGCATGTTCATCATCTGGCTTGCCAGAAATTATTGGTGTTTGAATGGCACTTCTATTCAACATCTGTTTAACACAATCTTTTTAAGCACAACTCCCCGTGATGCTCAGCAAGCAGTTATCTGGACAACTGCAGTCAGTTTTGTTTCTGAAAAGCCATCTGTCCCACAGCTATGGCCTGCTGGTTGCTTTACATCTCGTGTGGCTGCTTTTAACTGTGCAAAGTTTGTAGCCAATCTCAAGTGGCTGCACACAACAGCAGCAATAGTTTTGCATACACCTGCAGAAGTGCTGTAAGTGGCTGTGCAGGGCATGCAGTGATGGACAGCCAGGCCTCTGGGGTCTGTATTTCCAGCTTGCAAACACAGCAGACACCAATGCCAGCTGAGGGCAACCGCAGGAACCAAGCGCTGCTCTGCAGGTGGCAGATTGCAAGTTGGGTTGAAGCTGCTTGTTGTTCATGCAGTAATGTAATACTGGGTTTCTATATGGGGAAAAGTAGACTTCATAGTCTTTTTGAAGGATAATGTTTTTATGCCTTTTTATGTACAAAGGAAGAGAATCCCATCACCCTGTTGTGGTCTGAGCCTTGTGAGGGGGCAGAGGAGGGTTGCCCATTCCAGCTCTTTAGGTCAGAACAGATCTTAAAATTTACTATGTTGCAGTATAACCAAACTTGGAAACTGCAAGCCAGATTTTGGGCTTTTTTGTTTTGGAAAGTGACGTAATTTCCTTTTTTCATCATTTAGAGGAGAATCCTGCTGCACTTTATTACCTATTTGGAACCATATCTTGAGTAGAGATGGTAAAATTGATCTCTGCTAATAGGATGTAGACTGTTTGTTGGCTGTTTTGCTGTTTTATTTCTGATCCGTTTTGGTTTTGGAAAGTATTCATCCTTGAGGTTTGTTCTCTCCCTCTTCACCACCCTGACCAAAGCTATTCTCCTGACCATCCATTCACATTTTCTGTTGCTCAGTGGGTTTATATTTATTTATTTATTTATTTGCACAGAGGTGTAGCGCCGTAGAGGATGACTCAGATGTTCAAAAATAGGAGTGCATGGTTAGTCAGCAGTGGCCACAAACCTTCTAGACAATGCTTAACAAGGTTTATCTCTCCCTTTTGGTTTCTTTTGTTTTCTTTGCTTTCAGACATTTGTCTCCGGGAGCTCAGAGACTGCAGCTGTGATTTCTTTTTTTCCTTTGTGCTGGGTTGGTAACAATGATGCATGAGCCAAAGAGCTGAATCATTTTTCCGTGAATAAAGTCATCACAGTATCAACGTGATGCCTTTTCAAAACATAGGAATTAAGAGCTAGTTTAATTTAATTTAGTTGGAACCCTCCACCATTTTTATTAAACATAAACACACGTAAGTTGCTAAAAGCCTCTGAGAGATTTGTAAAGGCTCCAAATTTAAGTCTTGTAGAAAAGTCTTCCAAGATTATACAATGAATAGATTTTTCATTTCACTAAGGGTTTGGATTTTTTTTTACCCCATTTAAATGCAGTTTGAAGTGCTGCCTGGGAACACACTGTAATATTTAAATCATTACACATCTTTTGTTAGCAGTAGGGCTGTTCTGGCTGCTATGGTCATTAACCTGGGAACAGATGATTGAAGTGATAAACTGTAGTCTGATATGTCACCAGACTTGGGCAGACATTAACATTCAAAGGCATTTCAGGGACTATCATCATAATACCCCTTGCAGAAGAGACATTTAAGTCTCTGAGTCAGGAATCTGAAAGTCTTTAGTAGCTTTCTCCTTTATGTCAACAGTACTTCACATATTTAAAAGACATGCTCAGCATATTCCATGTTTAAATCTGTTGAAACCAGTCTAGCTCTGCTGCTGCACGCAGGCTAAGGCTCTGTCCTCCTCTGCCTTTAGCTGGTCTGATTTACCAAAGAGTGCCTTCAATTGTATGACATCACTTTTAGTGCTCTCCTGGTTTGTGGCCCTGAGCCAGCTGCTGTCGGACACCCTTGGCATCCACCTCCCGGTCTTCACCAGGTTTCGGAATTCAGCTGATAATTAAGTGTTAGGCAGAGCTGTGGGGCTCCGCAAGGGCCGCCCTGCCACATGTCTTCGGTGCCCCAGAGTGTCTGGTGAGTCATCAGTGAGCCCATTGCATCTGGAAGGGAAACAGAGATGCTGCACTTGCAATCTTTAAATCTTTCTGCTCTTTGTCATTTTGGAATAGGGAAAAAGCCACCCACTCTAATCAAAAGAAAGTGGATTAATTAAACCAGAGTTCTTTAATTAAAACAAAGTTCACAGGTTGTTTAATATATTAATACAGAAGACTTTTTTTTCCCATTGCCTTCTGGGTTATATAAGGAGAGAGAAAAATGAAAGATTTTTACACATGGACTTTACCCTTAAATTAATGATGCTGTCCCAGGAAAAAAGAGATGATGGGAATTGCACAATGTGCATGGGTGGGCCTTGCTTTATTTTTCAAGTTTTGAAAAAGTAAATTGTTTGTGACACTTTTTTAGTCTGGCTCTTCTCTGCTCATGCATGTCTGTGAGATAATGCTGGTAAACTCTCTCATGTGAGCAATTCTACTGAAATTAATGAGATTAGTTTCCAGAAAAAGAAACTGCAACCAGTTTATGTCATCTGGATGGTATTTTTTGTCATGTTGACATATAAAACTCTATACAATGTTGTTTATTTTTTTAAAGTAAAGATAAAAAGAGAGACTCCTGAGTGTTAATTTTCTAAAGAAATAGAAAGAATTCAAATGAACAGTCACTTTTGAACTATCTGTAGCTTAAAAGTAAATCAAAAAGCACCAAAGAGATGATGTGGGATCTCCATTGCCTTTAGGCTTTTAAGATCAGTCATTTAAATAAATCTGCGATGTGATGATTAAACAAAATGTTACTCATGGAAGAAATCAGCAATTGCAGTCAGAAAAGTATAGAAAATGTTTGTTTTTCTGTGCAGAATCCAGTTACAGTATAATTAGCATTAGCATTAGCTTACAGTCAGGAACCATCCTGGGAGAGACAGGTTGCATGGATGTCCCCTTCATGGAGGGGGTTGTTGGTGAGCAGCAGAGACAAATTTCAGTCTGAGACCTCACTTCTTCACAAAGACCAGGATGACATACTCCCACTCCCCTAGTGTCTTTTGGTGTTAAAGTAGGTTCAAGTGTTCTGTATACTTGTTGACTTCAGTTAGTACTGAGTGCTCAGCATGTCTATAAATTACCCCTGAGGTCTCAGGTAGCACATCCAGAGGATACAAGTTTTATAAGCTTGTGAGCACTATTGATTAGTGCATTAGATGTATCAGCATTACTGCAGTAACTCCCGCAATGGCTGGTCTTGATTCTATTTTTCTAAGAGAGAAGTCAAGCATAATTTTATTTCCTCTTTCTAAATCCCTCTCTCTGTTTTGTACACTGTGTCCTCCATTAAAAATGTAACATTTGTCTGATTCAGGATGTTGTTTTAATAGAATGAAATAGGTATTTTGGAAAGCAAATTATGTTGTGCATGGGAAAATATATAATATAGATGTATAAAGGAAGATTGTTCTCGTGCCTTTTTATAATAGTGTAATTATTATCCCCCCTCTTTTTTCTCCTTCTTTTTCCTCCTTTTTTTTCTTTACTGGCAGTGGCTCATAGTGCGGATCTCCAGCATTTGAACTCCTTGTGCTGCTTACAGCAACAGAAGTTGGGACATATGTGGGCTCCATATCTTTGCAGGGAGGGAGACAAGGTATAGTGTTCCCTGTGGATTTATCAGATATTTATAAATTGAGGCAGCATGTTGAGCCTGCAGGCTCCAGGGATGTACTCTTATTCTCTAGTGAATTTTAAGCTTTCTTACCTTTTTTTTCACTGCAGTGTTTCACTCCTGTGACTGCACTGTTGCAGGATGTGAAGTGGAACATCTTCCTGGCCTTAATATGGTTGGTGCTAGTTCAGCAGCTCACTGTCATGGCACAGTGGTCTCCAAATGATGTTACAGGGTTGAGATTTTGTCAAAGTCAGAAGTCAAGACACGTCTGAACTCATGTTGTAGAGATGCAAGGCACTTTAATGACCCTATAATAAACCATCGTGTGTTTAAATTCAGCCACGTAAACCCAGCTTTGACAGGAAATTATGGTTATGTTTTTTTTTTCTCTTTTTTACCTCTGTTACCCAAATTTTGACTCTTCTACGTTTTGCAGATGCAGTTTCCCTATGTCTGCTGCAGAAGCAGGCATAACTTTGGTATTTCATGCCCCCATTGGTGGGCTCTTGTTTGCTTGAGAAGGATGGCTTCATTCGGGGACATAAGGCTGGTCTGGCAAGGCTTATTCTGCTGCTTGATGGCCACCTTCACCACGGGTGTAGTGTCCTCTTAACTCTATGGGTTTGTTTGCGGGGGCCATTTTGAATTTTTTGAGGCAAAGAAAAGAATTCTATTTTGGGTACATATTGTGTGGATGTGGGAGAAAATAGATGCAGGAGTTTAGACTTGTCTCCTTCAGCATTATTGTTGGGGGAGAAGCAGGAAAGGGGGACTGAGAAGGGGAAAGGCTGGGATATGTACAATTATCAGATCAGTGGATATGGATGTCTTCACACTTTACATCTAGCGACCACTTAAATATGAGAGAGATTTGTTTTGTTCTAAATTATAGCGAGCAAGTAGACAAAGCATCTACTGTTTGCTTATTAACCAATCATATTGGTTATTAAGATAACTTTCTGTGTTGGTGCTGGATAGAGGAGGGATACTTCGAAATAAAGGAAAAGGCAGAGAAGCTCTTAAATAGGCTGTCCTCTCCTGTGGCTGGATCAAGCTCTCAGCTGTTGCTGCAGACGGTGCTGTACTGTGCCCCTGTTCCTTGGTGCTTCCAGATTAAACATTTGAAAAACTGTAATCACTGTTTGTTCCTGGTTGCAAAACAGAGGTGACCTTCAGCCTCACCTACCTTTGCTTTATTCCTTCCAGCATGACACAACCTTATCTTTGGATTTTACCTTATGTCCACCTGAAAGTAGTTGCTTTTATTATCATGTCTTTCACTCATTTTTATTGCAAGATAGCAATATTCAATAGTGATGTGCAAGTATCGTGATCTTCCCTTCTTGTTGCCTAAATATTCTTCTTTGTATTTGACTTGGAGATCAATTAGAGAGCTAGAAATAAACTGGTATTCTGAATCCTAATTCACTTTTTGCTACTATATAAATTTTTCCTATGGCAATTGCCTGAGCACTTTCAATTATCTCTGAATTTCTTCTGGCTTGTATATCTCTAGCAATGCAGAAACTAAAAAGCTTATGGCATTTCTCACTGTAGCTATACCTTGGTTGGGAAAATGGGCAATATTTTTTGTGTGCATGCTCCCTGAAATATTTGCTTTACCACTAGTTTAGCAGGGGAAAATAGAGAAGACATGGGGTTTTGGCCCAAATCCTTTTTGTGGACCAACTCATAGTGTAGCCCCCAAACAGCTGCAGTTACACACCAAGAAGATGAAAGTTTGTGGCAGAAAGGTGAGACTATGTGGGCAGGAAAGAGGTCAGGCATTCTGAAGCCAGATTCATTGCTGAATCCAAAGTGTTTTGTAATTAACAGCTGCACACCCAGGGGAAAGTGGATTCACTTCAGTTGCTATTTTACAATAAGCATTGCTCTTTTAACACTCAGTTCAGGATGTTTTCTGGAAAGAGCAGTGGATTCTCTTTCCTTCTATCTTAGAGGGAAAAGTTAGCTAAAATTATTAACAACATACTTCTGGCAGGGTTCAATAGTTTTTGGCTCTCAATGTGGTACAGATAACCAGAAATATTTGGGCATGGGGCTCAGGGGAAATTTTGCTTCTTGTATATTTTGTGGCATTAAGCAAACACAGTTTACAGTAGGTAAACTCTGAGTTTAAAGCTTGTGGGTTATGTTTCTCAAGAAAATGATGATTTTTTTTTTGATTTTTTTTTTTTTTTTTAGTTTCATTCTACCTAGGATAATGTTACAAGGGGATTTTATTTTACTCCAGAGCATGAGATTTTCAGGAAACTTCACTTTATTTTTACTTAGACCATTGGATTAATTCTAAAGGTGAAATTTGCTCTGTAGATACAAGTTTTTTCTTGATGACTAGCCAAAGCTCATGGTTGATATTACAACAAAAACAAACAGTATACTGTGCCACCTTTCATTCCTAGCATGTAGAACATGGTGGCTGTCTTGACTTTACTTTTATTGCCACACACATGCAGTGAAATGTGCATATATTACCTTAAAGCAAATACCTCAGTATATCTTTTCCTTTGGAAAAATGGAGGTAGGGAGAAAAAATAATAAAATCACGCTGTCTATTTTTAGTTTTAGTGAAGGATTGGAATTAGAAAGAATATAATGCAAGATATTTCGATCCTGCAGTAAATAAAATAGATGTTTTTCTACTTCAAATTAGGCTACTTCTCTCGGAATTTCAACGCCTTAAACATTAGATCCCTTTAAATTCTTTGGAAAAACATGGATATTGTTACAGCTATTGTTAAAAATAGCATTATTAATGTTTTTCTTAGTACACAGAGTACCTACATATATGATTGTTGTAGTCCTGTTGTAGTCCCTGCAAGTGTAGCCTGCAGGTGTCGATCTTCTGGTGCCTAGGAATGGCTACTGGGATTCTCCCTCTTCCAGACCCAGTTTCTGCAGCACCCTGTGAACCACCCCTTGAAGCCTGGGTGGGTTTTGACCCTGGCATTTCTCCTCTCAGGAAATACCACCCATGTTTAGTACAGACACCTGGTGAATTTGTTAAACTCTAGGCTAGCTGTAGCAAGACCAAGAATAAGATTAAGGTTCAAGAAGAAGAGAAGGAAGAAGAAAAAAGAGTTTGAACAGTAAGAGGAGCTCAAGGTGAAGAAATTCAAGGCAGACTGACACCTGACAGTTTCTCCTATCCCCTACCCCCAAGATTATACCAGTTTAGGGGGTTTTATTGTAGGCAACCCTTGACATGTGCTCTTCCTGCTTCTTGCCATGTAGATTTTTATGCATTTTATGATCTCTTACTTTGTCCAGATCCCAATCATAACAAAAAGCTGTGTAACCCTAAGCTTGGGCTAGGGAAATAATATCATCACAGCTTTTAATAGATTGCCACCAACCTGTTGACCCCTTTTTGTTGGTTGGAAGATAAAATTAAAACATGATATTGCTTTCATCCTTGCTTCTTGTTGAGGAGTCAAGCAGAAAATTCAATTACTATTACAGCTGCCAGATTATGTTCTGTGCTTGTGATTTGTTGTTCTGCAAGTTGTTCTAACTCGGCATCAATTTCCACAGTTTTACTTATATAAATTTACTTATAAATTATCTCAATGCACATGGATGCAAGTTGACACTTAATAAGTGAACATTCAGCAAAACTGGGGTTCATCAAAGTCTTTTGAAGTGCTCATTAAGGCCATCATGTCATGTTATTTGGATGTAACTTGACTGCCGAGTGCTAGTGGTAAGTGAAGTACATCACAGGGGTTTCTGCTATGTCTGCCAGCACCAGTGCACACCTGCTTGTTTCCACTCCTGTGAGGTGTGCAAGAAGGGATCAGCTTCAAATTAATTAGCTGAATTACCTAAACCACAAGGAGAGATTTATTTCCTGTATAGCAATTACTTTGAAGTATCGGGTTTTGTGAGAGAGGGTGCAATAGTTCATGTCACTGGCTGGATGCTCAGGACATTTTTTCTCTTTTCTTTGGCTCAGGTTAAGAACTTACTGGACATGAACATCTTGGCCTTCATTCTGACCATCCTCCTTGGTGTGTTTGGAGGTCTTCTAGGAGCTTTCTTTGTTTCCCTAAATATAAAGGTTAATAAACTATGTATGCAGTTCTTTAATTCAATTCCAAAATTATCCCCTAGAAAAACAAGCAAGCTGTTGGAGGCTGTGCTTATCCTAGTAAGTAAATAATATGTTTCTCTTGATTCTACAATATTTACAGTGGCTAATGTAGGTCATTAATTGCTGGATTGAAAAGTGAATCTTGCCTGCTGGTACTTGATAATTGCAACAAAGTACAGCAAACATATAGATTTCCAAAATACATATGTGTATTTAATGTTGGTGGTTATATGAGAATGGAGAAGATATTGTTTGTTTGTTTGTTTTAGTTTGGTTTTCATGCTTGAATTATTTTACCTCACTGCTGTTTCACTCTGATGATACTACATCAGCTTAGTGATATGCAGCAGTTATGTTGGTGTGCTTTTCCATTTATTTGCAGTCTATGGAAGGCTCAAATGTCCTGATAAAACATGATGGGGCCACTTTACATCTAGGCTTTGGAGTTTCTGTTTAGTGTTGTATGGCTTTGGGGAGGGTCATGCCGTTGGAAGAAGAAGGGTATAGGCAAAATATAAGGGATAAATGGAATTTAGGAAGAATTTCTAATGCAAAGCTAGAAGTGGTTTCACTTAGGAAGACTGTAAAATGCGTTCTCAAATGGGTTAGATTTTTTTTTTTTTCCTTCCTTCTGCATTTCAGAGAAAGTCCCAGGGAGAAGCTGTGAGCAAGCTCTCTCTCTCCCGGGTATGCACAGAGGTAACATGTTTGCAGCCATGTTTAAGGCCTCCTTGGGCCAGAGAGGGTGGGGGGAAGAGAGAAAGAAGATACAAAAGGCTTGGAGAAGGCAGAGCATTGCCTTTTTTCTCTGGAGGCCAGCTGCATAGCATCATTGAGAAATGGTCCTCGCATCTGAAATAAACCTTTTTTTTAATTCTTCCACTGCCTTGGCATTCTTGGGAAGAATACCTGCCTATGTTTTATCTTACATAGAAGGTTCCCATATTTTTATCATTTTCATACTTTTCAATTTTACACTTTGGTTATAACTTAAGTATTTTATTATGAAGAACATTATGAACTTAATAGTCCTTTAAAGACAGGCTGAGAGAGTTGGGATTGTTCAGCCTGGAGATGAGAAGGCTCTGAGGAGAACTTGTAGCTTTCCAGTACCTAAAGAGGACCTGCAGGAAGCCTGGAGAGAGACTTTTACAAGAGCAATTAGTAATAGGACAAGTGACAGTGGCTTCAAACTGAAAGAGATTAGGTTTAGATTGGATATTGAGAAGAAATTCTTTACTGTGAAGGTTGTAGGGCCAGGTTGCCCAGAGAAGTTGTGGACTCCCCATCCCTGGAAGTGTTCAAGGCCAAGTTGGATGGGGCTTTGTTTAGTGCAAGATGTTTAGTGGAAGATGTCCCTGCCCATGGCAGAGGTATTGGAATTAGATGATCTTGAAGGTCCCTTTCAGTGCAAACTATCCTATGATTAAATTTGAAGGAAGGAAACCTTCAGAACTTTTCTACTGCACTTTTAGTAAATTGTGTGAATTTGAGCTTCTCTGCAAGTTTTTCCAATGAATTCCTGGTTGTCATAAGTTTCCTTTATTTCCAGTATTTTTGATGAAGTACTTCTGAGGAGTTTTCTGATCCTTTGAAGTGTTGAGATGACCTATCTTTAGCGAAACTGATGCACACTGAAGCCCCTTTCTTCTGCCCTCTTTTAGGCAGACTTGCCAGTGTGTATTATGTATTCACATATGTTTTCTGTAAATACTGTTGTGTACTTTCTCTTCCCTCTCTCCTGGAGAGAGGGCTGCTTGATTGTATACCAGTGATTTGGCCGTGTAGATGCTCTCCTCCTGTCAGCCCCAGGCATTCCTTCAGCAGCTTCTACTCCAAGCCAGCAAAAAGATGTAAGTTTCAGGGAAAGGCGATCATCTTGACTTGCATTAACAGCATGGATGATACTGGGAAGAAAACAATTAGTATTTTAAATATGAGAGGGGAAACTGTTGGAGCTAAAAGTGTAAATAACCATAGGTCGAGGCGCATGGCTAAGTCTCTGCAAGCTCTCCACAGACTGTTTCCCGTTGGTTTGCCTCTCCATACATAGGGTCGGAAGAGTTCTGTATGTGCTCTGGCAGTCTGCCTCCTCCTCTGCCTAGTCCTGCTCCTTGCTCAGAACAGCAACCTTACTTGTTGGGTTCTCTGTTGGCACATCAGAGGTGAAATCTGACCTCAGGTAGGAAGAAAAGAAGAAGGAGGGATCCTGGTGAAAGGACTGTGCTGGAGCATGCCTGTGCTGTCGATGACAGCTGAATTTCAGCTCCTCTTAGCGGCAGGATGTTGGCAGCTGTGTTGGCTCAGCATCTGCTGAGGCAAGACACCCCAAGGAAGCTAACTTCAAGCTTTTTGTTTCCATGTTTGAAGGAGTGAGTAAGGACTGTAGGAAAAATAGGATTTCTCGGCTCCAGGGAGAACCTTTCCCCTGACCAGCCTTCTCGCATTGTGCTACAGCTTTAATCCCAGGTCTTGCAAAGAGTTTGTGGCTTTGTGCTGTTGAACACTGCAAAGAGACATCCTAACCCAAATCCAGTTTTCAAACCAGCAGGATGAGGAGCAGAGTCCCACGTGTGACTCCCATTAGTCCTGTAAAAAAGCCATAGTTTCCAAAGTACCTCTATTTGCAAGAGGTCGGGTTTGTAACAATTTTTATTTTAACAGTTTGGAGCCGAAGTGCTGTGTTTGACAGCTGTTTCCCCTACTATTGGGAAAGCTTTGGCTTTCTCATCGTACATTACAAAGACGTTGCTAAACTGGTTAAGCATGTAAAAAATACTCATTACTCTTTGGAATGAAAACCAAAACATGCATCAACAGAAGCCAGTAAGAGCCAGTATGTTAGAAGACACTATAGGATTAAATGTAAGATCAGCTAGCAAAGATTTAGTGTCACATATAAAGAAAGCACCTCCTAAGAGTTATTTTATGTTGTTTAAGAGTGGTGTCTTACTGACTCCAAAAGTTCATGGGGCCATTAGCACCTTGCCAGATCATACTTGAAACTGGGAGAACAGCATGTGTTTTGTAGGGTTGTAGTGCTTACAAGAGCTCTTCTGTTTATATATTTTTACCTTAATCCTGTATTTTTTTAATACTGTTTTTTACCTTAACTTTGTAGCATGAACTCTTATTCAGACTGTTTTTCCTTTTTTCTTAGCTCTAGAAGATCCTACTCAGGTCACAGTCCTTATTTTATTATAACTTGGCAGAAAAAGGCAGGAAAGAAACTGTTTGATCTGAGAGAACCATAGTTTTTTTTTTTTTTTTAAATAAACTCACATAATCAAGCAACTGAAAGAAACTATGTCACAGTGACTTTAACCAAAAATAATCTTGTTTAAACCAGTTTGCATTTAAACTTGGAAAGAACCCATCATGGTATCTTCCACACCCACAACATAACCCGGAGTACCATTCCTTTGACTGGAATTGAATATCTAATCTTCAGCCCATAGATTAGACAAAGCTGTCTTCCTAAGTGCCCTTCTGCTCCTTGGCCTTTATTTGCTTCTCCTCAGTTCATCACCTTTCTCTCTGTGAGGAAATCACGATGTAGATAATGTTTTGCCAAGAATCTGGCAGAGCTATCTTTCTTCTCTATTTTTTTTAATCACGTTGACTAATGCTTCTGTTCCAAAAGCTCAGTGTTTCCATGGGCAGGGTGGACAATTTAAGAATATATGCATATATACTTAATATATAAGCTGTCAAAACTTTAAAAGGATACTTGAGAGGATTATTTTCTTTTCTACCTAGCTGTGAAGATAGGCTACTGCTTTAAATATGTAGTCACTGGCTCCAGGCTTTCTGTCCTCCTAACTCCCTTTGGACTTCGAAGCTTTGGCAAAAAATTGACCTGGGTTTGAACTGTCCCAGAGTCAAGTTTTCAGAAATAAAACCTGACCTGAGCTTTGTGAAGGCTGAACTACTCCCAGTTACATCTATCTGATGTAGATGTGTTCTGCCCATAAGCTTATAATCTTTGAGATACAGGAAAACAAAGGCTTGAGGTAGAATTGTCTGACAATTCATCACAACTGCACAGAGCTGAATCTCAGCTTGAAGGTTTCTATAAATGTGCTATCTGAGCTGTTTTATAGTGATCCACAGAGTGCATGAAACTTTGTGCTTGGAAAATATATTACTACTACGGTTGTGTGTTCCAGTACTTTTTCTCCAGATATCTTCTTAAATATATTCTAAATTTTTTTTTTAAACTTTGGGCATATCTTCATTTATACAGAAATGTAAATTAACCTCAATTAAGATAAAAAAATGAACATTAGTTTTTAATGAAATATAACTGTGTTATATTGAACTATGTTGCATTGAAAAATAAGCATCACTGAAATGTAGTCATCTCATGAAAAAATTCCCTTTGCTTTTGGTGAATGCAAAGTGGCCATTGAAAACACCTTCTGCTGTGCTCTATTTCAAATGTTTTTGGTTTCATTCATGCTTCCTTCAAAATGGATATGTGGAAAACTAGAAGGACCTGATAAAGTGTCTTCATCCATTTGGATTGCAATGTCTGTGTCTCTACTGTGTAGCATCTAATCAACATTAGGCTTTATAGCTGTCTAGTATTGCTAGGATGTCTAGGAACTTCTTTCAATTGATTAACTAAATATTAGTCCTTTCATAACATCTTCCCTATGAGAGAAGGGAAGTAATAAGCTGGCAAGTTAGAAACAAGTATTTAGCTGTTCATACTGACCAGGGACTTCAAATCTGCATAAGTAGGGAGGAATTTAAATTGAAACAGTGGACCGTTTCTGACACACAGCATAATTTTAAGTACCAACCAGAAAAACAGGTCCTTAATGAAAGACACAGATCCTGAGCCCTTGCTGTGCTCAAGTTGCAGTCAGGGGCCAGCAGCCTGCAAGGAACTCTGTCTGGCTGTGTTTCCACTGCCTGCTGTGGGGCATGGTGGGGAGGCTGTCCATTTGTAGAGGATTCCACATGCTTCAAGTCCTTCTGGAGGTAGCGGTGGTCTCTGATGGCCACAGAGTCGGAGACCGATTATCCAGTTGCAAGAGCTGAGTCCCTGAAGTTCGATTGAATGAATCTAGGCTTACTCATTGCTTATGAGCAAATGGTGATCTTTTGGGATACATGGGCAAGACAAAAGGACAGAGTCCTTGTGGTAACTGCTGGCATTAGTCGGTTTAGACACTTTACTTTTTTTTTTTTTTTTTGTCTGTTTTTACATCTCAGAATAGTTTACATCTCACAATGCCTGCAGGTATGTATGACAACTGTTACAGTGTATTTACTATATTTCTTTTCTTTCGTGCCTGTTGTGAGAAGCTACCAGATGAGAAACAACTCAGAAATGTAAGTGGGGAGGATCACTATGAGCATATATATGTGAATACAGTTATTAACTGTTTCTTCCAATTAGCTGTTACAAGGATTTGGGATGGAAAATAGCCAAAGGTGTGTCAGAGCTGAGTGTTTAAAATGAATTCACGTATAGACAAAAGTCATTCTTATCTTTTAATCATTGAAATTTAATCACACTTAAACTTCTCCAGTGAGAGGCATTTGCTATCATGTCAAATTAAAGAAAAAAAAAAAGAGAAAGAAAGAAACAAACAAAAGGGAGCTAAAAAATGAAAAGAGCTTGAAAAATGGCTGTATGTATCACATGAGCACTTTTTCAATTTAGAATCCTGATTTTGCTTTTAAAGGTTTATAGGCCTTTTAGATAGGTATATTAGCCTATAGGAGACAGGCTGTGCTTGAACTGGAAAACTGGAACTGGAAGCTGGTGAAAAACCTTTGTTATTCTGACCTCCTGTTGGCTGCTATTGGCTGAGGGACATAATTGATCAGTCCTCTCTGTAGGAACATGAATAGGCAACCCATCAGGGGCTACAGCGGAAACTGTAATCCTGGGACTTAAAATGGCAAATACTGTGTAAATAAACAGGTAGGGAATATATGACTGAATGGCTAAGGATTTTGTAGGTTATGTTGTTGAAGAGATCCTTGAATCTGATACAGGTTTTGCAGTACAAATATCTTTCTTGAAAAATATGTATGAGGAATCCAGAGGAAGTAGAAAAAGAATTGCTCAGATTGAGGTTAAATGACAGCTTGATTTCACAGTTGTCACTACCAACTTGTAGTTTTACAAATTCATAAATCTGGAAAATTTATGAACTCCTCCTTCCAAGGGGACAGCATCATTTCTATGTTGCTTAAAATAAACTTTGAATACCAAATAACTTGCCATTGGTGATTGGACTCTTAACAGCTTATTTAAGTTTATAGAAAGCAGACATGCTTTTCCATGCTTGCCACCAATTCTAGCCTGTTATTTGACTTGCAGTACCTGATTCAGTATTGTTTGCTAGATTATGTATTTACATATTCTTTATAAAAGCAAACTTTGTCACTTGGTACCAGGACTTGGTGTCTCTGCCTATTTGGATTGTTGTGGGAAGAGCCTTTTTCCTCACCCTGACATCCTTTTTTATTTTAAGGACTAAATGCTAGCAAAATGTTATGTTTCAAAACAAAACTATTTTTGCTCTGAAGGAAAAACATCTGAAACCACGATAATTTCATGGCTTTTTTTTTCTGTTTCTGAATCAAAAATAGTCATGCTGATGCAGCCTAGAGGCTGAATGGTCTCAGTGCCAATTTATTATTTGGTGTGGCTACAAGTTATAAAGAGTATATCCTGTTGAAAATGGATAGATCTGAAAAGGAATTAAGCACCAAATTGTTCTCGGTTTTGTAAGACCATGCAAATGCTGAAAGTAGTGACAATGTCTCTAATAAGTTTGTAGTAAGACTAAATGTGGAAAAGAAGCTTGTTCACTATTCTCCTGTTCTTAGGAATTGAAAAAGGGAATTATGATTGCAGTTGTAAGACTTTGGTTAGGATCATTTAGATTTGGCTCATCTCAGCATGATGTGAGATAGTCAGTGCTCCAGAAGCAGATAAATATCATTACCCTCTTGAGATCCAACAGATTAGTAATAAGCACCCTTGCTACTTTAAGAGATCCAATAAGAATTATATAACCAAAAAAAATAATTTTAAGATACTGAATTTTGTCTTTTGTAGTGATCCAACTCAGTCAAGTGTATGGTTTTGCTCTTAAACTGTGATAGTAAAAGACCTGCAGCTCCAGATGGGTCGGTATATGGCTATGCCAGTATGACAGCACTTCTATCATAGCTTATCCTCATACATTTATACTGAACAGTTCTTTCAGTAGTGTTTTGTGGCACTTGGAGAAGCACTTGGATTCCTTGGAGAAGGAGAACTAAGAGGTCATGGGAAGGCAAGAGAAGGAGGTAGAGAAGCAGTGGGCTTCTTCCATCAGCAAGTCTCAGTACTGCACATGTATTCCTGCAGTGTGGCAGTGCAGTCCTCCACCAGGGAGAAATCTGTCTCTACTAAATATACTGATTTCGAACAGAAAGAGTTAGTGGTACAAAACCCCATGTGTAAACTAAAGTCCTACACCTCCACTCTCTATGCTTTGTTCTTCTTGCTCAACCATTTGTACTTTAATTGTAAAACAGCCTTTCTTCTGTTGTTTCTCTGTTATTTTGGCATTGCTGCAAGCTTCAAATTGCTTCTCAGTTGTGCTGTTTTTTGTGTATGCAATCCTTTACTGGTAGCAAAGACATGTATAGAACTTGAGTCTTTGATATAAGTGAGTTACACAGTCATATGACTTCTAAACCAGGACAGAGTAATCAGGTTTTTGGTTTTTTATTGACTATTATGAATTTGGAATATATTCTTGTTTGAGTGGTTGGAATAATGTAAAAAGCTAATACAAGATTGGGAAGTATCTTATGTCCCTTTTGTTGCCAATCTTGGGTCTGGAAGAAATTTTTAAGCACTAGATGTTGGCTGCATTTTAAGTTTTCCTTGTAATTCTGAGTGGGGATCAGGTGGGTCAAATAACAGAGATCTCCTGCTCTTTGTTCCAGGAAGAGAGTTTATATTTTTACTGTTTAGGTTGTGGTGATGTCCGAAACATGCTGGAGGCTTTCCAAACTGGAAGAAGGAAGTCATACCTGCTTGGAGAGTTCAATTGTTCCAGATGACAGAGATTGAGAAAGTGTCCAGGAATAGTAGTGCTGTGCAGAAATGCTGGTTGTGGTCAGCATGATAACCGGCAGTCTATGTTGCAAAATGTTGAAATAACTGGTGCCAGTATTTACCAAAGGAGAGCTTTAAGAACATGTTGGACAAACATCTTTTAGGTGTGCTTTGAGTATAGCCTGTGCTGCTGTGGAAGAGGAGACCTCTAAGTCCTTCCAGCCCTCCATGGCGCTCTCCAGTGCAAAGCTTTCTAACTGCAAATGCTTCTATCAGCTTGGGATGCTGAGCTTACCCACCAAAGTGTTTGCTGTCAGCAATGCTTCATTTTTGGTCGGATAATCCTGTTTTATAGAGTTAAAATGTTGTGTGGACAAAGAGATCAAGGCCAGGTTGTGCATTTTAATAATTTTTTTCCCTTGTTTTCTGGGTTTAGGCAGCATAAAGTGATTCCTTGTTTGGGGAATTTTGAGTTTTGGCATGAGGAAGTTTATGTAATAAACCAGATAGATTAGTAGAATAATTAATAAACTGATCTAGTAAACTAGATTTATTAGTTAACAAAACAACTTAATTGGGAAATATAAGGGAAAGGTGGCTTCTTGTGTAAGATGTATTTATAGTAGATACATTCTGGACAGGCAGTAAGGTAAGTTATATTCATCCATAATATTTCTTTTGTTTGTTTTTAATATTTAAGCATAAATCAGCTCAAGAGGGGAAAGTTCAGAATATAGCTGTTCCTCAAGCACATGGATTGGTCCAGATGACATCAGATATTCTAATCAAACCTTCAGTCAAGGTAAGGGGAGCTAAGTGATTGATACCTGGGAAGAAAGTGAAATAACTTGAGGCGATATCAAGGTATATTTGCTCATAACACAGGTTTTCTTTAAAGTAATGCAGTTCTCCCTTCTGACATATCAGAGCTAAGTTCCATATTTGAGCCAAATGTACTGGGAAGATCCTGAGTTACTGCCTCTGAAAGGAATGGGAAAAGAGCCCTGCTGAAGTAGTACTGTTGCTTTTCTTTGGCTTAAATGGCTGTAGTTTCTCTTTATTTAGATCAGGATTAACATCACAGAGAACCAGACTGAAGAGAACATATATTCCTTATTTTCCTGGAAGTGCCCCAGATGCTGAAGCTGTCATGAAAACCCTGCTTTTTAAATGAAGTTTAGGCAAATGAGAACTACTACAAACTGCATTTTTGTAAAGGAACCTTTTAATATTTTGTATCTCTGCACATGTCTTCGTCTGTGTTGCAGCTGCTGCACTTCCAGTTGAAAATGGGAAGTAAGGGATCACATATCTTTTTGAATATGGGACTCGTGAAAAATTTGGATACATATCCCTGTGCACTGCTTTGGCATTTTATTTCATCCTTAGCTGTTGAATGGCAGGTTCTGCAGTTGCCAGTGGCCTGATTATTCCTGTGCTGTAAGCTCCACCCATCCTGGTTTGCGCTTCCTCTACAAAAGGCCTGTGTTGAGTAGTAACAGTCTGAATTGCAGGTTGAAAGCTTGGCAATAGCAAAGCTATCAGTGCTTAGAGGAGGCTGTATAGGTAGAATAGGATGGTTTGCTTGGAAAGAGATGCTAAAATTGTGGAAAAGAATGAAGAAATATAGTCTGAGAATAGCTGTGCAAGGACCATAGCCAGAACTGTGGACTTTCCAAGTATAGAGCATTTGAATCCTTTGGGGACCCAGAAGGAGCCTCAGTTTCTGGCTCCATCTCTATAACTGTAAAAATACGGATTCAGATCCAGACTCTTCATCTGTTTCTTATGCATGTAATAGCCTGAACCTTAATCTTGAAAATCAACACTCTAGACTTTGGAGAAAACTACAGTTGGGTCTTTTGTTGTAGTTTTTAGAAAGCTGTTGTAGAGTAGAGCAAGGTTCTTACAGTAATGCTGAGAGGTTTAATGTTCAGCAAGCAAGGAGTCATGGCTGAAGAGTGCATAATGCAATTCAAATACTGAAAAAAAGTCTAAAAAGAATTAGTTGTGTGCACAGCTTTCTGCCATTGCCCTATCCCTGTGTATTCACTTCCTGCCCTCCCCAAAATTTTGTCCAAGTCAATTTTTAATATGTAGTGTTTGTTGAAACACGGGATTCTTGGCCGAATAGATATGGTCAAGTCTATCTGCCAGCACCCATGTTTCTTAACTGATAACCTAATTTTTGTAACCATTGTAGAACTGTATATAGTTTTAAAAACAATTCCAGAACTGCATCCATCAATCAAATAGGTCCATTGTATGAATAAATTGGAAAAAGTTGTGTAATGGTGCAAGACGATCCTCCTCAAATCGTAGAGTCACAGAATATCCTGAACTGAAAGGGATCCACTAAGATCATCAAAGTCCACCTCCTGGCCCTGCATCACACCAAGAATCACACCATGTGCCTGAGAGCATTGTCCAAATGCTTCTTGAACTCTGACAAGTTTGGTGTCATGACCACTTTCCTAGTGAGCCTGTTCCAGGGTCCGACCACCTGCTGGCTGAAAGCCCTTTTCTACTATCTGACCTAAAACTCTCCTGACACAGCTTCAGGCCATTCCCTCAGGTCCTGTCACTGGTCACCGCAGAGAAAAGATCAGTGCCTTCCCTTCCTCTTTCCCTCACAAGGAAGTTTTAACTGCAATGAGGTCTCCCCTCAGTCTCCTCTTCTCCAGGCTGAACAGATCAAGTGACCTCAGCTGCTCCTCATACAGCTTCCCCTCAAGGCCCTTCATCATCTTTGTTGCTGTCCTTCAGACACACTCTAATGGCTTAATATCTTTCTTATCTTGTGGTGCCCAAAACTGCACACAATATTCAAGGTGGGGCCTCACCAGTGCAGAGCAGAGCAGAGCAGGACAATCCCCTCCCTCGACTGGCTGGTGATGCTTTGCCTGATGCCCCCCCCAGACATGGTTGGCCCTCCTGGCTGCTGACTCATATTCAACTTGCCATTGACCAGGATCCCCAGGTCCCTTTCCATGGCACTGCTTCCCAGCCTCTCATTCCCCAGTACATACATCAAAACATGACACTGGAGAATGCGGGCATAGATCCCTCTACCTTTTGCATGCTAAGCGAGCACTCTACCGTTTGAGGTAATTCCCCCATGCACAATCAAAAAAAAAAAATCAGATAATAAATATCATGCATATGGCTATTGTATAAATAATAGTAATTCACCATTTCTGGAAAGTGAATGTACAAGTCTGGTTTGTTGTCTGACACTTGAATATGTATATTCAATTCCTTGCATATAGAATGAAATTTTGTGTATTACATCAGCAATTACCTGCTCAACTGTGCTACGTTTTGGTTTAGCTCTGCGGGGTTGGTTGGTTTGAGGACTCCTGAGTTCTCTTCACAGCTTCATTCCTGGTTAGTTTTGGGCAGATCATTAATACCTATTACTTCTTTTTTGCCCATTTGTTACATGGCTGTAATATTTTACTTGCCAGGTTTATGGAGTGCAGATAGACTTAATTTTAAGAAATTATATGAGGCTGGAGCTCTAGAAGTGTGGCCTTACAAACTGAAATAGCCCAGTGTGTATATCAGTGACCTACAGTTTTGACTGTTACTATAAGGTCAATCCTCATTTGGCTTTGAAAGACTTAAGACAGACATACCATTAGTCTTTTTTCCTTCAAAGTATGGTAAATCTGGCAGCTTTGTGATAGCTGATTGGTGCTAAGTAAATGCCCATACTAAGGAAGGTTGTGGGGACGGAGTGTCTACAAAAGTTGAAAAAATTAATCTGGGATCAGCAGAATATTAGAAGCATTTCTAGGAAACTGCCAAGAGGATTGCTCTTCTTCATGTATACAGGTATACAGGAGCTTTGTATGGCAGGATAATGGGATTGATCCTTGTTTCCATTTTTGGTATTCAAACCAATGAACATGGAGTGTGGATTGATCCAGGTTTCTTTACTGCCATTGGAGCTGCATCCTTTTTCAGTGGAGTGTCAAGACTTACCATCTCCATCACTGTGATAATGGTAAGTATGTTGAGTTTTCAGGTATTTTTGTAGCCAAGGTTGAGTTGAGCATTTGCTGCTGCAGCTAAATAAACCACCACTGTCCCATGCACATTGAACCAGAGAGAAATAAATTATTGGCCTGTCTGTTTCAAGCTTGCCTGAAAAAGTTTTTTGTTTTGTTTTGGGGGTTTTTTGGAACTTTTACCTGTGAAGTGTAAGTTTGAAAATAACACTTTGACTGAGAAATTCTTTCTCCTATTTTTAATTTTTTGAGGTTACAGAAATGATAATGCCATCAGTGGTTTACAAACAAGAAAAAGGATGTTTCTTCTGGATTAGAAAACAATAGTAGATCACTCTGCTTGCCTTGTGAATTGACTTCCATGAGGTATGAGGGCCTTGTACAATGTACCTATTAATGCTTGGGTTGAATATGGGTTTCTGGATGGAGTAAGTGAAGGACTTACAGTAGTATAGGCAACTGATCTAATGGAAAGCCTCACAGGTCTCTCTGGTCAAGTTATGCCTCATAGATTTCAAAATTTTGAAATTCATTTGGAACACATTTAATATTTCTGTTTCCTGGTCCCCTCCTCTTGTAACAGAGCATCTTGAGTCTGCACTACAATACTTTCCAGGCAAACTTCTGGAAGCTAAAGTATTTGCACATAATACTCAGAGAGGATGTTCTTTGCTCTCCTTGATTGCAACACCTGGGGATGGTGAGTTGTAAGGCACAGCTGCAATTCAGCTTAGTCAACAGAGAAGTGAAGTTGAGGTCATAAGGGGGAAGTTTTCATTCTTCCACGGCAGGACATTCAAGGCCTGTGAGTATTAGTGTGTGTGGAAATTTCACCCATGACTAAACCCAGACTTGGCTACCCACCTGGCTTTGCCCAAAAGGATCTCATTAAAATCTTTGGAGATGTCCGAATTCACACGGAGTGACTAAGCCTGGATTTTCCCTCCTAGTACACTGTTGCACAGTGTTTGATTAAGTAGCTGTTTATTGGCACTCACGCCAAGTTGGGTCCATGTTAGTGGTAGGTTGTGTAAATTGCTTAGGAAGTTTTTTTGGGGGATTTTTTTGTTTGTTTGGTTGGGTTTTTTTGGGTTTTTTTGGTTGTGTGGTTCTTTTTTTATTTTACATTCTATCTTGAAAGGTGTTGTATGTTCATAAAAACTTCTCTATTGTGAAATAATAATTAGATTGGTTATGGAAACAGTCCTCCTTCAGTATCTTCTTGGTGCTTTAGCACTTACTTATCCATAAAGTAAAAATGGACTCTGGTATTTCTGCTTCTGTCCTTGGTGTTATGCATCTTTTGGAAGTTACTGTATGAATTGTTGGCCAGTTGTTGGCCTTCAAGTCTTTAAGACTTGAAGGGGGGGAAAGTCGATGCTTGAACACTAGATGTAAGTTTTTTGAGAGCCCCAATTATGACTAAATGTAATGTCTTTTCCAAAGTAGGCCTGAATTTTCTTGCAATGGCTCAATATATTTTAATTTAAATATCATTTGTAAACCATTACTTTGCGGTCTTTCTGCACCTATAAGTTGTTAGTGGCAAAAGCAGTTGATTGACATCTTCCTTAGATCATGAGGCTGAGTTTTATCACAGAGAAGTGAGAGGTGATTATGTGCCAGAACACTTGCTGGTCTTGGATGACAGAACTGCTTTTCATTCAGCTCTAGTACAGAGAAAATTCTTGCATTTTATTTGCTTCAGTTTCTCCCTACCTGCCCCATTACCTGCATTTATACTCTGTTTTCAAAGTGCCTCTGTGGTCGTGCACATACAGCATATGCAAAACAATAGCTGGAAACTCTTAAGAGAACTGGAGGAAATTGAGTTGAAAAGGCACTGGAAAAATGATGAGGATTGTGTTGCAGTGTGTTCTGAATTCCCCTAGGTGTCATGTTCTAACTCTTCTGTCCCTCTCTCTGCAGAGGCAGATTCTGTTTCAATTCATGTTCATCCAAGATAAATAGCTGCATTGCTTGAGGAAATATTAATTTTTGGGGAGAAAAAAGGTCTTGGACATGACAATGCAAACACATAATTAAAAGGTTGTGCCCTCAAACCATAAAATGCACATATTTTTCCTATATTGTGTGATGGGTTCAAAAAGAATTGAGAATGTTTGCTTTGGCTTTTCACAGCCTTCCATTTGGAAACAGTTATGAATGCGGGACTTGTAGTGAACAGGTTTGTAAGATGCTTTTTTTTTCTCATGGCAGACCCCACAGGCATCTGCCCACCTCTTCTTTCTTGGCTGCCAGTTTCTACCCCCCATGCTGACATTTGACCCTCATCCTCAGCTCTTTGTGGCAAACAGTAGATGTGGTGACATTTTCTTTGGCAAGTACAAGGAATAGCCTTATGACTTGCCTTCCCACAGCTTTCTGTCTCCCACGTCTTTTAAGTGTCATGTATCCTGAGCTTGCAGGACTAGGGGTGCTCTAGATGTGGAAGAGGAATAGCATTTTCCTACAGTGTGTTTGCTCTCTGGCTAATTCTGTGTTTTTATCATTCTTTTATTTTTGATTCTCAATAACAATGCCTCACAAGTGTTAAAGAGGAAAGCTGGCTCAGTATTAGTGTTCTATATAAAAATATATATAATATATATATATATTAGTGTTCTAGGCTAGCCTAGTATTAGTGTTCTTGTACAGTACTGTTGATGCCCTTGTGTGCAAGCTGAAAGAAGCTTGATTTGCACCAATTTGGATCCTTTGTCCCATGAATTGTCTTTCTTTCTATTACACATGACAGAAAATAACCCTGACTCTCAACTCCTTTCTTGCCTGTTCTGTTCAAACAGAATTAAAGCAGAATATCAGTTTATTGGCCTAAATTATTTCTTCGAGAAATCTCTTCTGATGGACATGAGGAATGCAATTAATTCTGAAAAGGTTTAAACTCACGACACTCCTTTGAGTGTGAAACACTGAAATACCAGCCTTTTGACAAATGTAGACTAAAGGAGAAAATAGAGTTTTCCTTAGGATTTGGAAAGGGAAATGCAATGTCATTATATAAACCAAAAGGAAATCTTCTTAGGGGATTGAATCACCCAAGGTCTGTCCCAGAGTCTCTTGCTAATGGTAGGTGTGGCTGCTGTGAATGAATAGGTTGTGCTAATGGGCATGATGTTGGTCCTGAATTAATATGACCATCTGATGGGGGTTCAGAACATAATGAAAAGTTGCTTGTTGATGTCTTTCTGAGTCTGCAATATGGCAGAAATAATAAGCTGTATGTAAAATTGTCTGGTTCTTAAGATGGCATTGAAGACTCAGACATGAGATTTGTTTGTGCTTTCTGTTCTTTAATGCCTATGTCAAGACAGGTATGCTGGCAGAGCATTGTATATAATAAACTACACTGCTGTAAGTGACCACTGTCCTATAGTTAGGAAATCTACTATATTTGTTATACACGTTCCATTAAGAAACAAAAATGAACATTTTTTTTTCCATAATTTGAATACCTCATTTAGAATCATAGAATCATAGAATCAGGTGGGTTGGAAGGGACCTCCGAGATCATCAAATCCAACCCTTGATCCACTACCGCTGTGGTTGCTAGACCATGGCACTAAGTGCCACATCCAGTCTCTTTTTAAAAATCTCCAGGGATGGAGAACTACTTCCCTGGGCAGCCCATTCTAATGTCTGACCACCCTCTCTGTAAAGAAATTATTTCTAATATCTAACCTAAACCTCCCCTGGCACAACTTGAGACCATGCCCTCTTGTCTTGCTGATAGCTGCCTGGGAAAAGAGACCAACCCCCACCTGGCTACAACCTCCTTTTGGGGAGTTGTAGAGAGTGATGAGGTCTCCCCTGAGCCTCCTCTTCTCCAGGCTGAACAGCCCCAGCTCCCTCAGCTTCTTCTCATAGGACTTGTGCTTGAGTCCCTTCACCAGCCTAGTTGCCCTCCTCTGGACCTGCTCCAGCACCTCAATATCCTTCCTGAACTGAGGGGCCCAGAACTGGACACAGCACTCCAGGAGTGGCCTCACCAGTGCTGAGTACAGGGGAAGAATCACTTCCTTGGACCTGCTGGCCACGCTGTTCCTGATACAGGCCAGGATGCCATTGGCCTTCTTGGCCACCTGGGCACACTGCTGGCTCATGTTCAGCTTCCTGTCAATCCAAACTCCCAGGTCCCTTTCTGTCTGGCTGCTCTCCAGCCACTCTGTCCCCAGCCTGTAGTGCTGCAGGGGGTTGTTGTGGCCAAAGTGCAGGACCGAGTGCTTGGCCTTGTTGAACCTCATCCCGTTGGAATCAGCCCAACTCTCCAACCTATCCAGGTCCCTCTGCAGAGCCCTCCTGCCTTCCAGCTGATCGGCACTCCCCCCAGCTTAGTGTCATCTGCAAATATTTTGTAATGTATACTTCTAAAATGCTTCACAGCAGTATTACAGGTCATCTTGAATAAGTGCAATAAAATAACTGTATCAGCAGGTAGTAACAACTAAATCCTAACCTCTTCTCTGTCTGCGTATTCCTTCAGTACTTCTATTTTAGGTGAAACGTACTTACCTGAAATTATAGGCAGGATGTATTGTTGCAAATTCTGGGGTTACCCTTCTCATTTTCTCTGAGAAACTGACTCTCAAGAAGCTTAAGTCCTTTCACAGGAAATTTCAGTAGAGCGTTGGCTGTGGGCCCTTAGATGGGGGCTGTAGATGTGACAGACACACGTTGTTTTACAAGTGTGATGTGAGAATACAGCATAGACAACCACCCAATCCAGATAACTAGAGAGAAGTTATAAGAAAAGCAGAATGGTGATACAAGATGTTAGAAAAATAGCACAAGACTTCTTAAATAGATGTCAAATCTGCCTGGTACCAGCGCAAGTTTTTCACAAGAGAGCTGTGTTCCTTAGTGGTTGTAGGATGCAGGATGCTGCATTTGAAACCATTTGCAGAAAGGATGATGCAAGCACAAAGGATGTTTTTGAAAATGCTGACACAAATATGAATTCTGAATTTTCCTTGGT